GGTTCACTATATAGGTATAACAAAATTAATCCTTCTACAAAATAAAAGAAAAACTCTGAATTGGCTTGACTTGAACATCACGTTTTAGGATGTTAAATAATAATAATAAAATCAATTATCTTATTAATCTACAATCAAAATTAAAATATAATTCAAATATTTTATTTATTTTAAAAATGGAAAGTGTCGATAAATAATATTAATATTAATGATTAGTTTAGGGATAGCCTATGATATTTATTTTAAAATAGTGTTTTTATGTAATAAAATATTGAATAGTATTATGATAGGAATATACCGGGTGTGTTCCAAAATTGGCTCGGCTCTATAACTTTCTTATTTTTTCAGATATAAAACGAGATTTGGTATGTTAGTATATGACATAAATTAAGATTGATTGACGTATTCAATTCTTTCCGGTCACTTCCTGTTTCACTGGAAATGACTTCAACTTTTGATTTTTAAATGGCACCTGCATGGTATTTTTTACTTTATTTTATAGAAAATGACACTTTGAATAGAATGACAATGTCAACTTTTGACATATTCAATTGAAAAAAATAGCATTTTAAATTTCAATTTAGAGTATTAGGTCATAAATGTAACGCCAATTTGACTGGAAATATAAAATGTGTGGTACCAAATTATTCGTAAAAAAATGCTTTTTCCAAATATGATAATGAGTTACCCTCGTTCCATTTGAAAAAAATTGGGATATGATAAAAAAATACGATTTGGGCATCTTTTAACCGGCTAATATAAGACCCGAAAAACTTTAGACGATGAAATTTATTTTTCCAAAGCTCCTTGATTAAAAATTAGTGTTTGGTTTGGCAACACCTTCCATGGCACTCTAGATTGAATTCGAAATACGAATTAAAATATATAATTTCGAATTTGAAAAAAAAATCCTATACGACTTCGAAATGATGTTATAAAATATTAAAGCAGGAATGTCAAAAGTTGACATAATATTTCATTCTAAACTGAGTATTGTTTTCTATCGAATAAAATTAAAAAAAATGAGTGTACCATTTAAAAATCAAAAGTTGTAGCCATTTCCGGTGAAACAGGAAGTGACCGAAAACAACTGAATACTTCAATCAATTCTAATGTATGTCATATAATAAAATACCATATCTCGTTTTTTTATCTGAAACAATAAAAAAGGTATAGGAGGTGAGCCACTTTTGATGTAGTAGTTTGAGACGCACCCGGTATAAAATATATTTTATGTAGCACAGAACACAAGTGTAAAATATAGTAATTTTTAAATTATATAAATCAGAAAAAATGTACTGTTGAATACACTTCTCGTATACAGGATGTCATATTTAAAAATTATAGTTTATGTCTATAATTGATAGCTTATGATGATTTAGCAATACGTAATAACATTTGACTAAAGACGCTATTATTTTTAATGAGCGTTCTATCACTAAAATTAAAAAAACTATTGCAGTCTTTTCTAAAATAAGGTTAAACTAACGCCATTGTTTATTTTTTTTCATATTTTTTTTTCTGAAACGGTAGAGAAATTTGAAAAGTATAAAAGTCCGTTATAGAACAATCAAAATATTTTATGAAGAATGAACGCATTATTGTCAAAAAGTTAATAATAAAAGAGCTTTTTCTCTTATAAAGACGATCGGAGTACATACTGTATAGTATTTCGTATAAAAAGAAATAAGAGCAAAATATGATAATTCAGATTTAGTTATTTAAATTATTTCATTGTTCCATTAAAAAGCAATATTTTTTTAAACGTCACAAAAATATTTTTTGACCTCAGAAACACGTCTATGTGTTTCTTTTGCCATCAAAAAAAATTGAAAATTTGGAATTTTTTTAAAAAATGTTTGAAAATGTTTTTAATTTTTAGTTAAAAAACATAAAATCTTCATAATTTGGCAACATATTTACAAAAAGAAAAGCCAGGAAATTAGTATAAGAATATATAAACAAGAATAGTATAGTGGTTCTCAAAATTTAAACAAAACTCTTTTTTTTTTAATTTTTAAAGTAAAATATTTCTGTTATTTTGGACTTATTTGAAAAACGGCGAAGAGAAAATATGTTTCTTTTATCGATATCTACCAGCCCAGAAAATATTTTTACTTATTTAAGACTCACCCTGTATAAAAACGTTATTTTAACGCCTAGTCCAAAAAGTGAAGCACTTTTACGCCTAAGCACAAAATTACGAAAATATATTATTAAACTGACATAAAATAAAATGTCAATTTTAACGAGTTTTACCATAGTTTCTCGATATGCAGGGTGAGTCTTAAATAAGTGCAAATATTTTCAGGGTTAGTAGATCTCGATAAAAGAAACATAATATTTTCTCTTTACTATTAAGGCTATTATTCAGATAAGTCCAAAATAACCGAGTTATTTAAGTTTGAAAATTAAAAAAAAAATTTTTTTTGAAAAAATGTTTCTCCAGAGCCACCTGATTTTTTTTTGTATTTGCATCCTTTTGATTGCCGTAACCATAGAGTAAAGCCACAACTATGGTAATATTAAAGATTAAGAAATTATACCGTGGGAAAATTTGCGGTGAACAGGCAGTTGTAAAAATTATCGAAAAATATACAGAGAAATTTAAAAAAATGCACGATGTTCAACAGCGAAAAAGACTTCATAGACGTGTTTCTGGGGTCGAAATATACCACCCCTGAAAATATTTGCACTTATTTAAGACTCACCCTGTATAATTATACATTAAGTACAGTAATTACTTATAAGGTGTTACTTTTAAATATTTTTATACAATTTGCAACGTACGAAATTGTTTAAAAAATTATTTCTGAACGTTTGAAAAAATTGCATGTTCTATTCGGAGTAAAATTGACTTTTTGTACCTCGGCTGTAATAAACGTACATCCTCGCAACAAAAAGTGTCATTTTTACTCCTAATAAAACAATATACTATTATTGCTATAATAAAAACGCGTTTTCCGATACAAAAAAGATATATAGATCACTTACGCAGATCTTCATGTTGGACAAAGCACAAATTTACACTGCCGTGCTTTTCCACAACAGATAAGAATATATTTATACTCAGAACGGCCAAAAAAACAAAGAGGAAGGGTGAAATTCCTAAACCGTTCACGGCGGCTTACCGGCTATACCATCCTGCCGTCGTCGGGGATCCAAAGCACCCAAAGACGATTTTCTTACGTAACGGTAACGTTATGTAAGGTGGATGGTTGCGCGGATACCCATCTCACGCGGTCGACAGTTGTGAACATGACTTTGAAACCGGTGTCTCGAAACCGACAGACGCCATCTGATAAGAGAGATTTTTCACCCATTTAGATGGTCAACTTAATGGGCATCGAACAACTTAATTCGACTTTCTACATATGTCGTTTAAAAGAAATACACTTAATGACATCATTATGATTATCGGCAAATAATTCACATACATATATAAGTAACCGTATGAAAAGTTTATTAAAGAACTTTACGCTAATTCCTACCCTTGTAAAAAGATTACAGCAAATAAAATATCAACAGAACTCCCTGTAGAATATCAAGTGGTACTTAGGGTGTATTCCGTTGCTTACCTTGGATATGGTTTCATGTTCCGTTTCTATCCGTTTCCTGAAAGTTTTCTTATTACGGAACACGGTTCCTGAAAAATTCGGTTATAACTGTCACCAAACTAACCAGCGCGAGAAGGCTGGTTTTTCTGGTTTTGTTTGTCAATCAATGTCATTTATGTGACAGAAATCAAGCAAATATTGGAAGTACGAGTAAAATTCTCATTTAATTTCTAAAATTTGTAATAATATTTTGTATTTACATCCAAAAGTAATGGAGGTAGGCAGTAAAGGTAAATAAATTTCATTAACTAAATAGAATGCCTTTTTAGGACCATTTAAACTTATCATGAAGCCATTGTTTCTTAAAGTCAGGAACATTATTTAAAGAAAACATGAAAAACAAGACAACAAGTAATCGTGAATGTTTTGTAAGCTATAAAAATATAAATATTGACTAGATTTGTTTATTTATTATTGATCTGTTTTAATATTGGACCTGCAAATCTTCACTTGAGCTGTCTAACGAGTTTAACAGTTTATTAATAAAGTACTTTTCAATATTAAACTCTATTGAAAAGAAGAAGCAAACGTAAAAGAAGAAAACAGGTACATAAAAGATAAATTTTATAATAGTGGTACTGAAATTTAGAAAACGTCAACATTTGACGTTTCCAGTATTTTACCAAACCGTTCCGTATCAAAGCGATGTTTTTCAGGAACCGCTCTTTACCGTAGTTTACCGGTCTGGTTCGCCTGGTTTTGCAACGGAATACAGTCTTAATGTTCACCTTTGTTCAATTAACCCTTAACTACCATGGCCAAAAATAGTTACGTTTATACCATAGCAGGGTCAAATTTGACCCCTTTTTTTTAATTAAAAAAATCTCACTTTTTGGTCCTGTTTTTTATTTCAGTTATTTTCTGCACAAATATTTTTGCACCTTTATGAAAAAAATAAAACAAAAAAAATGTTTATAACTGTATTAATAAAAATAAACTTCAATATGTAATAAAACTAACATAACAGTAAACTTCCTCGTATTAACAGAAAAATAAAAGAAAAAATCAATTTTTTTATACGGAGTGGTCAAGTTTAGGCTTTATGGCTGCTACCTAGAACAAAAAAAAACATTCAAAACTTGTATCGAAAAAATAACAAAGATGTATTACACCTTACTTTTCAATGCAATTTTCGCACAACACCTTCTTGCGTGAATGATTCTTGCAAATAAATCCTTGACAATTATCGCACTTTGAGCTTTCCTTCTTTTGATTTTTTGAATAAGGGCATACCTTACACCTTCCCCTCTTTTTACCTTGTGGTGGCTCCGGATCATTTGGCGGTACTGGTTCGCTACTTTCGGTAAGTCCAGAAACTCTAAAAATTACACTACGAAGTTCTCTCGGTAAACATTGCTGTTGAGCTCTGCGTTTTATATGTTCTTATATGAGTTGTTGACCTAAAGTTGTTAAAAATCTTCTTCTTTCCATTATTTTATTTCGTTGAACACCATTAAAAATTACATTAGCATTTACTCCAGCAATATCTAAAATGCGAAACCATATGACTTGAGGCCATCTCCGAGTTCTTCTGCCAGTTTTATAGCATGCACATTTTTTATCCAACGAGTCCACCCCGCCCTTTGTCTCGTTATAAAAATTTACAATTTCTGGCTTTCCATTTACCATTGCATTTGAATGATGCATAGTTGATACTAGTAACACCGCACGATTTTTTTTAGGAACAAAAGATACCAGGCTCTCGCTTCCTGTAAAACCAAATAATGCGGAATTTGCTGGCCTGTCCTTGTGAGGTTGAAATTCATAAGGGACCTCTCTTTTGTTTTTCTTTAGGGTTCCAACATATGTAATATTATGCTTTCTTAGTTCCCTTATTAGCTCAACGGAAGAGAACCAATTATCAGCAGTTACGTTCCTGTTGTTTCCTGATATCGGTGGAATAAGGGCTAAACCATCTAGGGTAGGGATATCTAGCTTTCTTGGATTTGTTTTGTGAGTATCCTTTCCAGAATATATAAAACTGTTTAACAGATAATGTGTCTTAGTATCCACTAAACACTGCATTTTTAGACCATATTTGTCTGGCTTACTTTTCAGATACATTCTAAATTTGCATCTCCCTCTAAATGCTACAAGCATTTCATCTATGGTCACATATTCGCCGCAGCTATAATTGGACTGGCAATTAGTTATAAATGTATTAAAAATATTAGATATAGCCGCTAAATTGTCTCCGTTAGCAATACGTTCTAGTCGCGTAACTGGATCATCAAAGCAAAGGCTTGCAAGCAAAAAATAAAATCGGTTTAGTGACATAGTGGCACGAAATATATCACGGCCCATACCATTAGTTGCAAATAAAGACCTTAAATCTTCGTTATTTGATTTGAATACACCTGCTAAATATAATAGTCCTTAGAATGCTTTTAATTCGATGACATCCAGATGATTGGTATACTGACATGATAAATTGTGCAAATTATACTTAGATGCCATAAAAGTAATTCTTTCGTTAGTTTTTGCAAGTATTTCTTGTATTATATCATCGCTAATAAGACACTCCCAAGCCTGAAGTGGTTCCTTAGGCATCTTAAGTCGTGCTTCTCCTATAATACCAGGCAAGTGACTTATTATATTATGCTTACGGGTACGAGATGAAGCGGGAGGAATTTTAGCCCACTTGAACCTGTTTTTACCAAAATAGGAATTTCTATTGTCAGAAATACTATTTTCCTCAGTTGAAGATTCACTGCTTCTTTGGGAGCTATCGTTTTGTATATCTTCTTCGCCGTCATCATCTCATTCTTCTTCGGAATCTGTTTGGTGATCACTGTGTTCACTAACTTGATCCGAAAACTCACTATCACTATCTAATCCATTGTCCATAATCTTTTGTGCCTCCGCTTCAAGTTCACTTTGTGTCAGGCCACATTTATTGTTACTACACCCGGCCATTTAATTATTTTAATAAAATAACCCACAGATCAATCTAAACGCAGTTATACCATAAGCGGGTCAAATTTGACCCAACGCCTACGTGTCTCTACAGTGGTTAAAAATAGACTAAAGTAATTTACGGGATCCGATATATCACTGACCGCTCGATGATTACACGGAGGCGCGTAGAGAGACATCTATATTCTACTAGTGGAAATTGTCATCAAAAACGTGTGGGGTCAAATTTGACCCCGCCATGGTACTTAAGGGTTAATTGCAGTATATCAAGCTTCATTCAGAACCCTCGCAATTAGTGGAATAAATTTGTGGTTTCAATTAGCGTAGAAGTTTGTACTTTTAATTCCAATGCAAGCCTTCAGAACGTCAAAATTAGTGGTGGTCGTTTTCAATTAGCAGTGAAAAAGTTACCAAACCGATAGTCAAGCAGCACTAAACGCGATCAACCCAGTAACCATCAATTCGAAGTTTGTCAAGAGAACCTCAACAAATTAGGCAAAGAAAATAAAGTCCTCCTACTCTGGGTGCCTGCTCACCAAGGGATAGAAGGCAATGAAAAAGCAAATTATCTAGCTAGAAAAGGAGCGAACGCTCCACTAACTGGACCAGAACTGTTCTGTTTTCCAAACGGGAACCAACTGAAAGCGGAACTGAAGAATCTGGAAGACTACATTCGTAACTTGGAATCTGGTGTGTCTTGGTGTTCTTCAACGGTATAAGACACTCGAAAAAGTTCCTCAGAACTTACGACCGAGAAAAATCAAAGGTTTTTCTTGATTTAGGTAAAAATAATCTTCGGGTTGTCACAGGGTTTCTAACAGGACACTGTCTCTTCAACGAACACCTCAGTAGGCTGAAGCTGAGAAACAACTTCGAATGCAGATTCTGTAGGGAAAATGCGGAAACACCAGAACACCTTATCAGTGAGTGCGCCGAGACGACGACCATTCGTGCCATGAACTTTGGTACGGCTGATATCGAGGACGGAGAGCTGGCCTCTGTGGAGCCGTTTCAGATACTGGTTTTTGTTAAAGCCCTAGGACTGTATGATGAGTTATAATTCGTTATAACTCAAGAAAGGACAACACACTATAGATCTGTAAGGCCGCGGTGATTAACTCCCCTCCTAAACATTCTACATTCTACAATCTACCAAACTTTTAAATTTCCATGCCCATTTTGCGAGAAATAAAAAAATATATATGAAAATGTCTAAAGCTTCATTCAGAAAATCGCAATTAGTGGAATAAATAAGTGGTTTCAATTAGCGTAGAAGTTTGTCCCTTTAATTTCAATGTAAGCATTCAGAACCCCAAAGGTCAAAATTAATGTTAACACTAGGTCAAACCACATCGATCCATCATTGCATCGACTAATCGCATCATTATACTCACTATGCGTGAATGGACGCATGGACGCATCACATCGACGCATAATGAGTATATAGGGCTTAAAATTTTTAAATATTCTATTCTTCAGAAAGTACGCAACAATTGCATTATTTTTTCTTAAAATTTTATTAATAAAACTATTGTATTTGGTTTCCTTCTATTTACATTTTGAATTATTGAAATTCTTGCAAGATTGTTTACATAGAAAAGAACAAAAAACCGTTTGTTCTTTGCTGGTAACCTTATTAAAGTAACCTTATTCCTAATTAAAAAGGCATTTTAGTATCTCTTGTGTTCTTTTTAGTTTTATGTTAACTATTTTGGCCATAGATCTAGATATTTGTTTAGATACCATAAAAATTTAAGTAGGTCGAGTGTTCAATATAATATCTGAAATAAATTTAATTATGATGCCGAGATATGTCTTTATAAAGCTTTAGAGCATATCATTTGAGCTATATTAATGCACTAAAACAAATATAGACAATCTTAACCATGGCTTTATATGTTTTACGTCAATTTAAAGTTAAGCCATAAATGTTTCTGTGTTGTTGATAGCCGATATGTCTAAAACTGGTGGTTATACAACAGTTTAATAGATTTAGATGTATACCTATTGGAATCTAGTGCGAAACCCACCTTGTTTACCTTATTTTCTTGATTTATTGCAGCATTTTATTAATAAAATGCCTTTTTTTGGAACGTTTTCTGTAATTTGATCGAATCACATGAGATGGTGCAAACGCCTTAACCTGCTTTCTGTTTTTTATATGTTTTTCCGCATTCAATTTCGTAAGAAGTTCACAAGGTGATAACATACGTAAAACTAAATCACAGGTGTACGGTTTTTATATAATATTAGACTTTTTAATAGGACCATCTAGATTATACAGGGTGGCGCCTCTCATACCACGCGGAGGCTCCAAGGAGAACGACAATTTGTATTGAAGTGAAATTTTTAAAAATTATAAGAGTTTTACAGGGTGTCCCCCCAAAAATACATGTCAGAGTGGCATTTTTTGTAATTGAACACCCTATATATTAATTGATTTCCGGATTCTAGGAGAAAAATAAAGGTGAGTTTTATAAGAGAAGAAAGAGACTAAAATGTAACGTTTTTGACATATTTAACATTTTCTAAAAATAAAGAACAATTTTTAAATTACAATAAAAACTACCTAAATTGGAATTTACCCGGTATAACTTAATATGTAGTTAAATTAACTATTGAACTGTTTAAATTAAATTAAAACTTGATCCAAAAAGTTATACAGGGTGATACAAAATTAATATTGAACATTGGTCACCTTTAAAAGCATTATACTCTTTTATTTTAAATGGAACACCCAGTATATTATTCCGATATTCAATGGAGAATTCATGTCTCTTCAAAATACTATTAAGGTTGCCTACCCCTCAAACAGATTTTCCTAGATATTTTCATTTACATGATTTGATCTGAGTAGATCTTTATTATTTGATAAAATCTAAGTTTGACATAGCTGTCTAATTAGTCCAACTTTGATCTAGTTATCATTTTGTGTCAGTTAAAACAAAAAAATTTCTCAGAAATTTGCCGAAAATGCAAACTTATCCTACATCAGAAAGAATTGATATGATACTATTAGTTGGCCGTTAAAATTAATAGAATACTTAAATGCTCCTGATTTTATCTAGTCTGGGTTTTTTATGGGGATATGTTAAAGCGACTTCGTTCGCGTCGAATTAATCATTTGTAATGGTGATGATAAAGCAAAGCAAGAATTTCCATTAACATACAAACTGGATAAAATTTTCTCACATTTATGTCAGCATGAGAAAAAACAATATGGCGATATTATTATAAAACTTGGTAATATTTGAGGGATAGTTTCACCCCCTTAGAATTCGAGTTTCGAAAAATCCCTTCTTATCGAACATCTACACCATAAAGTCAGTTTTCCAAAAATCAGCTGTTTACGTCAAGCACTTTAAGCAGGATCGTGATTAATCAATGACCAGATTTTTCGAAACACCCTGTATACATTTTTAAAAAATCTTAAAATATGTAAAAAACAAAATAAAATATACGTGTTTAAGCGTTTTTTCGGAAACTTGACCGTTTTTTAAATAAAAAATATTGTAATATTTGAAGGGTGGTTTCACCCTCTTGGAACTGGAATTTCGAGTGGTTTGAACAGGATCGTGATTAATCAGTATTTCAGTCACTTAAGGATTTTATATATTAGTATAGATAAGTCTAATTCTATAAATATCTACATATATATAAAATGCTAATATTTATCTGTGTCGTCTCTACTGAAGTAACGACTTGCTCTAGAAAGTTGTTTTTTTTAATAAAAGATAGCTAATTGGCTCTTCTAAAACCTGTCGTCGCCGCATTTTTTGTTTTTCATTTAATTAAAAAAAATAAAAAGTATTTTTTTCTCTTGATGTCGTGGCGGATGCGCCAGGCTTCAACTAGTATTTTTATAAAATGCTTTCAGTTAACCTACATACATATGCTGCCAAAATTTCATTTCGATATAAACTACCGTTCTCGTTAGAGCATCCGCCGCGTATGAGAGGCGCCACCCTGTATAAGGTCTATACAGGGTCTTTAAAAAACATCTGCCTTCGTTCGTGGGGAGATTCCGCCTGTAAAAATAAGATTTATTTCTCATATTCACATAGGTCCGATTCTATTTTGTTTCATCTATAAGGGCTTAAAATCTTAGGAGAATTATTAAAATATTCTTCCAGTGCTTTGAGCGATTTGAATGACATTTTGAAAGTAAACATTACTATATATTGTGGGACATATTATTTAAAGGAAAAAGTCAATGGCGCACATATGTCTTTTTAAGAAAATATTACGGTGATAACCCATATACACGTCTCTGGTGAATCTGTCGACACATTTTTAGCATCAGAATTTATGTAGGGGTGGGGGTAGTTTTCACCCTTTCCGTACTGTTTCTTGATGTTTGTGAATGTCAAATATTAAAGCACTTAGCACAACATAGACATCTGAAATTTCATTCAAATCGGAATAACGGTTTTTAAAATATCTGAAAAAATGTGTTTATTTTTTTAAAGTTTGATGCCCTCTAGCGGACAAACGAAGCACTTTTCTATAGAGGTAAATTGTGTCGAATCAACTAATTTTGATTCCAAAAATACGTAGGTACGTAGTAATTCTATGTCCACAGAATATTGGGACACACTGTATAAAACAAAAGATATAATAAGATTTTTTAAGAATATAAAAAATAAGATTTTGAAATATTTTTAGTTTGTTGATTTCAAAAATATTTAGCAAGGTTATCTATTTAACGATTTCCTGTATTTTATGTAACCCAAAAAGGAACATTATGTAGCCCACGTAACTGACTTTAGTGCTTTCAGCTTTCAGCAGTGAATATTCCGGTTTTGGGATACAGTGACAGTTTTATCTGTTCTTTCATCTGCTGTTGCTTTGTTACAATTACAAATTCTTGAAAATTTACCTGTTTTTTTAATGTCTAGTTATTATACGCAATTACTTATACTATACAGAGAGAAAATGTAAGTGGTAACAGTAAAAAACGTCAGAGTTGGCTATGAAATACAGATTGCTGTGTTTTTATA